CTTCCCCACTCTGTGCCTCAGTTTCCCCACCTGCACCCACTTCTCAACGTTCCCGTGAGGATTAGATGAATTCACATGTGTGGACCGAGGTGGTTAAGGGGGCTGGACTCGCACATGCACATGGCCGACTGAGGTTCAAGTCCTGGACCTGGTGGCTTGCTTGCTTCTCTCTCTGACCAAACTGAAAATAAACAAAATAATTCTGGAAGCTTAGAGTAATAAAAATAGGCATAAAGCCAACGCTGGAGATAGCAGTTAAGGTTTGTACAGGGGAAACTGGATCCCACCTGGCAGACCTGGGTTCAAGTCCCGGCCCCGATGGCTAAAAAGCACACCGGATGAGGCCAGCAGATGATGTGGTGGTGATGTCGCTGGATTCCCACAAGGCCTACCGTGATCTGAGTCCCAGACCCAGCAGCTGAAAAATGACGCCAGGCGTGTATACATGTGTGCCCCAAATTCCAGGAGACAACAGAGGAGAAGGGATTGTGGCATGGCCATCCCCCGGGGGGGTGATTTCTTTTTACTTATTTATTGAATTCCATTCTTTTTCATTTGACCAGACAGAGACAGAGAGAGAGAGAAAGGGAAAGTGAGAAAGCAAGCTGCCAGGTCTGGGACTCGAACCATGGTCGATCATATGGGAATCCAACACCTTTAACCACCGTGCCACCTGCCAGCCCCCGGGGAATGATTTCTCACTTTCCCTCTCTCTGTCTCTCCCCAGCAAGCACATGCATCCTATGGAAAATAAATAAATAAATAATTATTTCCCCCAATGAATGCCCACAGGTGGCCTGTGCGTCACCAGGGTGCACTCGGTCAAGCCGTTGCTCACACAGCATGTCCCCCCCGTCAGAACCCAGACGGCCTCTGCTCCAGTCTGGGGCAGGAGCAGCTCAGGACACTCACTTGAGAGACAGACACTTGACCAGGATCCGCTGTCCGAAGTGCTCGCGGGGCGGCTCCGGGTGGCTGCAGCGTTCCACAGCTTCGTCCTGTCAAGAGCCGAGGGACAGAGTCGGGGTCTGGGACCCGTCCTCCAAGCAGAGCTTCAGACCAGCTCCGCCCCCAGCCAGTCTCAGTGGCTCAGTCTCTGCGCTTTGCACAGACAGAGCCTTGCACAGACAGAGCGTTCCCTGTGCCCGGAATGCTCTTCTCCTCTCCTCCGTGCCTGGCCAAGGGACTGGGTCCCTCTTACTTGTGGCTACACCCCCCACCCCGTGACAAGCAGAGTGAGCTCCCGCGCATGCTGGTGGAGCGGCCAGCAGGTGGCGTAGTGGTTAAGGCGCTGGGCTCCCACGTAGTCGCCTGAGGTTCACACCAGACCCATTGCTTGAAACACACTGGGCACGTGTGCGTGCGTGTACAAAGTCCCAAGAAGAGGATGGAGGAGAAGGGATTGCAGCGTGGCCATCCCCCCTGGGGTGTGATTTCTCACTTTCTGTCTCTGTCTCTCCAGTGAGCACATGCACCCTATCGCAAAAATCTCTTAAAATAAACATATAAATAAATATATATACATACTAGCTATTAAATAAACGATGGGGTACCTAAAGGCAGTAGGTGTTGGGCAAATTTTGGTTTGTTGAATAGAGAATTATACAATAGGCATATAATAAGTACTGGTTGGTGGGGCCAGCAGGTGGTGTGGTGGTTAAGGACGCTGGACTCCCTCCCACATGGCGGACCATGGTTCAAGTCCCAGACTGGTGGCTTGTTTTCTCATTTCCTCTCTTCTCTCTCTGGTCAAATTTTAAAAATAAATAAAGTTAAATAATTTAAAAAAAATAAATAAGTATTAGCTGGATAAATATAAGGATATACAGTTGGGAGCCAGTAGGTGGTGTGGTGGTTAAGGTGCTAGATTCCCACATGGCCAACCATGGTTCAAGTCCCGGACCCAGTGGCTTGAAAATCACAACAAATAAATAAACAAATAAATGTGTTTTTGTTTTTAAAGAATATACAGGGAACCAGCAGTTAGCGTAATGGCTATGTTGCTGGACTCCCACGTAGTTGACCGCGGTTCGTGTCCCGGATCCGGTGGCTTAAAACTCACGTCGGGCGCGTGTGCATGCGTGCCCAAGATCCCAAGAGGAGAATGGAGGAGAAGGGATTGCGGTGTGGCCATCCCCCCTGGGGGGTGATTTCTCGCTTTCTGTCTCTGTCTCTGTCTGTCTGGCGAGCGCACGCACCCTATAGTGAAAACCTCTCAAAAAAAAAAAAAAAAAAAGGATATACAGTCGATGCCCAATATGCACGGGTATATAGTAGCTGTTCAATAAAAGCGATTGAATAAACAGTGAATACAGTAGGCACCAGCACACGTGGATTAGATCATACACAGGGACAAAGCAGTCGGATGAACTTTGAACTTCGGCCGCCAGGGCTGTGAACCTGCAAGCACCCACCTCATCAGGCGCAGGGTAGAGGGTAAGCAGAGCTTGGGGCCGGTGCTGTCGACGCAGGGCTTCATTACGACGGTCCACGTCCTCGGGGGCTGCCCGCTCCAGCAATGAGGGCAACAGTGAGTCAGCCGCCAAGTTCCTTAGGTCGAAGATGCCGGAGGCACCGCTGCTTCGAGGGGTGTCATCTGGGGAGCCGGAGCAGCGCCGGGAGTCATCCTGCCGGTGAAGAACGCGCATGCGTTGAGCACTAGCTAGATATACCCTCGCGCCATGCATATCCATGCTATAGATGGGAGGTGGGCCAGGACATGAGGTCGCCATTCCTAGAGCCACCTGGGAGACATTACTGTCCCTCTTTCTAGAAACATCTGTCTGGGAAACCTCCTCCCCCTTTTATCATTGTGAGGGGGGATGCTATTTCTGTCCCACATTCTGTGCTTCATGTAACCCTTATCTGGCCAATCAAAAGACAATCTGCCCAGGGATTGGCTTCAAGTCAAGGACATGACTGAGCTAAGCCAATGAAATCCTTCCCTGAGATCTCTTGCTCACTGTTGCTAGGCAGAAAAGAAAGCTCTTCCTTTTGGGGCTACAACTGGCCAAGGACCCTCCTTGTACACCAGATTCAGTTGTGGTCAGTTCAAGACGATCCTGCTTTAAATCCTACCTCAGCTCTGCGACCCCCAACTCTAAGGGCATCAGTTTCCTCATCTATGTATAATAATAATGGAAACAATAATTCTTATTATCAATTAATTATTGTTGGTGTAAACAGGTGCTTGATAAATGCTGATTGATGAGGCCGGTAGGTGACATGGTGGTTAAGGGCACTGGACTCCCACACGGCTGATAGCAGTTCAAGTCCCAGACCTGGTGGCTTGCTTTCTCACCTTCTCTCTCTCTGTCTGTTTCTCTCACTCTGCCCCTGTCTGGTCAAATTAAAATAAATGATTTAAAATAAATAAAATAACTCTTAAAATAAATAAATAAATAGATAAATAAATAAATAAATGCTTTGACAAAATATAAGCTCAGAGTTCTCTAATAACTGTCTGCTATGTTACAGTCTGTCTCCTAAAAACTGGTAAGCCATAATAACAGTGTGGAGAAGGGGAGACATAATCAAATTAGATCCTGAAAGGAGGGGCCTGGGGCCAGCAGGTGGTTAAAGTACTGGACTCCTATACGGCTTACTGTGGTTCATGTCCTGGACCTGGTGGCTTGCTTTCTCTCTTTCCCTGTAAATGAAGAAGGTTTGGCACAGAGAGCTTAAACTTCTCAAGATTACATACCTTGGGACCAGCAGTTGGCAATAACAGCTATGTTGCTGGCCTCCACATTGACTGTGGTTTGAGTCCCAGACCCGGTGGCTTAAACTCACACCAGGAGTGTGCGTGCGTGCCTAAGATCCCGAGAGGAGAATGGAGGAGAAGGGATTGCGGCGTGACCATCCCCCCTGGGGGGTGATTTCTCACTTTCTGTCTCTCTGTCTCTCTCTGGCTTTCTGGCAAGCGCATGGGCCCAATAGCAAAAACCACTCCCAAATTAAAAAAAAAAAAAA